ATCTTCCCTAGATCCATAATGATCAAGGGGACACAATTTAAACTTGACATATGGATAGATCTTAATGGATGAAGCATTTCATGAAATAATATGATATCGTGTAATGCATTCTTTATTATGTAAACCATTAGCATACGTATCACCTAATTCGTCAAAGTGACGAATTAAAGTCTAGTTTATTTTTATTATTCTTCCTCAATTTTGTTCGCAGGATATCTCAAGAATGGCAAAAGCCATTGTCATGAAACTTTGAATGATGATAGATCTTAGTCTAACTTAGAACTGCATGACTTTTCAAAGACTCAAAATTATCGTGACGTCATCCAGGCGCCATTTTGTAAAATTCAACTTATGATCATATCTTCATAACGGAAAGTAATTTTCCATTCATATTTATCATGAATAAGATCAATATCCTTCCGGTCAATTTCAGATCAAAAAACGTGCGCAAATCTGCGCGTACGCGTTCGTGCGCGCGTTTACGTGCGCGCAAAAAAATAAAATGCTCCAAATCATTTCCAATTTTTTTTGCATACGTTTCAAGCCATAAGGAGCATTTGACAAACAATCAGTCAAACGCGCATGCGCGCGCATTTTTTGCGCGTTCTGGCATTTTGCAACATATAATCGCCAAATTTTCTCTGTCATCATGTTTGGCACATTTTTCCAAGCATTTTGATACCATGTTCATCTCTTTATCACTATTAATAACGGAATGAGCGTCCGTCCAAAATAAATATCTGCGCGCGCGAGGTCATGTATTACATAGCATATATGGGCAAAAACATGCCTATAAAAAGTACATCGGGATGAATAAGGACCGCCATTTTTGTTTCATATTTAGATACAGTATGAGTCGGAGATATGATTTCGTATCTTATTAGGCTATTAAATACATCTTGACGTCATCATAATGGCCTTGAAAGTCAAACTACAAAATTGCATATTATGACGTCATTATATTTATGGAAAATTTAGTGTATTTCTCATAATATTGACTGATTTTCTTCCAAATTTCGGTATCTTGTAGCTGAGGCAATTGCCCTCAGGATAAATACACACTACTTTTTTTTTCATTGACGTCATCATAGTACAAAATTCAATTAAAGGCCACATTTCAGAATTTTCTTAATTTGCGTGTTATGCCTATGGAAGGTGAATTTCGTTTACATCATGAATCTTTATGACATTGATCTTTGAGCACTATCTAGCTTATTGGTATTCTATGTTCTCCCAAATTTTGATACGGTGTAGCTAATAAAATATCTACAATATTGTCGTACATCATTTATCATTTCGATGACATCATCATAGTGAAAATTTCAATTAAAGGTGACATGTCAGAATTTTCTTAGTTTGCGTGTTAGGCGACTTTTTCTGAAATCCTGATTCTAAAAATCTCTATCGAATACCTGAAGGGGGCGCTATACCACTCTTAATCATGGTCTTTATCGTATTTATGATCATTATCATTAGATCATCATCGGCACACTTTCATGATAACAAAATAGCACGTATCACCTAATTCGTCAAAGTGACGAATTAAAGTCTAGTTTATTCTTTATTTTTATTTCTCCCCCTTTTTTGTTCAGAGGATAACTGAAGATCAGTTTAATCAATTTCTTTTAATTTTGGCACAGTTATAGGTCATTGTCATGAGACGTGACAGGAACATTTTCAAGGTCATTAGATTATCGTGACGTCATCCAGACGTCATTTTGTGAAATCACGTTATCCATCATATCTTCATGATGCATAAGCGATTTGACCTTTTCCGCGCGTTGTGAGCGCGCGCAATGCGCGCGGGGACACGTACGGACGGAAATTTTTTTAAATGCTTAACATTACCTGATTCGTACTCTCGTTTAATAGTTAAGTGATTTTGAGCATTTTAAAATTTTGACGCACGCGTACGCGCACGTCATGACCTTTATGTGACCTTTGATGACATGACCTGTTGACCCTTGACCTGAAGTATATGTGATATGAATATGAATGACCTTTGTTTATGCATTTTATTTATTTTTTATTTTATTTATTTATATTTCACCAGGGTAGCCCATTCAACGAAAAGTTGGTCTTCCATGAGGCCCTGTAAAACATGTATATACAATTAAAAAGATAAAACAAACAATTAGGTATGAATACATTAATAGAACAGTATTACATATTGAAAATAAATATACAATATCAAACATATTAATCAGTGTCAATTAAAATGCATCAAGAAGATATGATGGATAATGTGATTCCACAAAATGGCGCTGGATGACGTCACGATGACCTGATGACCTTGAAAATGTTCCTGTCACGTCTCATGACAATGACCTATGTTTGTGTCAAAATTGAAAGAAATTAACACAACCAATCTTGAGTTATCCTACGAACAAAAATGGGGAAGCAATAAAAATAAAGAATAAATAAATAAATAGTAAAGAAGAAAGAAAATTTGAACAAAAACAATAGGTGATCTGTTTTCAACAGACCACCTAATAATAAAGAAGAAAGAAAAATCTGACGAAAACAATAGGTGAAATTTAAATCGTCGTGGGGACGAATTAGGTGGTCTGTCTTCAATTCCTATGTTCATGCTCATCTTTAATTCAATATTTACTGTATTGAAAAAGGGAGAAGTTATATAGACATGTAAAGAATAATGATCATGATGATGATCTTGATAGTAATGGTGATGACGATGATGATGATCATGGTGATGTTGATGATCATCAACAGACCATGATGACATCTGATTAAAAAATGAGGGGACGTTGAGATAGCGTATAGTCTCAGCTACAACATACTCAAAAATCAACAAAAATCAAGCCGAAATAATGGCGATATTGCTCGCAAAAGACAAGAATGTAGAATCCAGATTTGAGAAAAAGTCATCTCCCATAAGGATTACATGCAAAAAGTAATGGATCAAGTGATAATAGGGTAATAATAAAGTAAATATGGTTGTCTATTACATTATTTGCGATTGTACGTGTTTTAATATTTAAAGGAGATGGTACATTAAAAGGTCAAAAAGAAAAAAAAGTGGAAAAAAAATTGTTGGAGACGCCCGGACTCGAACCAGGGACCTCGAGGTCGGAAGTCAAGTGAGTTACCGATATACCAAAACATTTCCCATAGAGATTACACGTAAACGGAAAATGGAATGATCAAATCCCACTTTGCAAGTGAGATATGAGCATGATCCCGGCATCTGATCGAAAAATAAAGGGCACACTTGTGATAGCTTATTGTCTCAGCTACAACATACTCGAAGCTCAGCGAAAACAAAGCTAAAACGACGGAGATATTGCTCGCAAAAGACAGGATGTAGAATCCAGTTTTGAGAAAAAGTCATGTCCCATAGAGAATACACGCAAAATGTGAAAAATTGACATGCCATCTTTAATCGCAAAAATACGCCATGATACCTTTGTCAAAATCAAAAATTGTGGTAACTGCATTTGTAGAAAATTGTCTCAGCTAGATCATATCAAAATTTGGAAGAAAATCGATCAATATTTACAGAGATACAATCAATTTTCCAGAAATCTGCTGACGTCATAATATGCAAATTGAAATTTTGAGTTGGGAGGCCATTAGGATGACGTCATGAGTTAATTGAGGGTCAAATGAGACATGAAATCATATCTCCAACTCATGTTTTTTCTAACCATGATATAAAAGTTGGGGTCATTAGACTATCTGAAGAGCAATTTCGATTTTTAAAATGGCATGTTTTTGATCAAATTTGCATTATATTGCCCTTATAAAAGCAATATCTCCGTCGTTTTATCTTTGTTTACGCTGAGCTTTGAGTATGTTGTAGCTGAGACAATAAGCTATCACGAGTGTGCCCTTTATTTTTCAATCAGATGCTGGGATAATGCTCATATTTCACTTGCAAAATGGGATTTGAGAATTCCATTTTCCGTTTACGTGTAATCGCTATGGGAAATGTTTTGGTATATCGGTAACGCACTTGACTTCCGACCTCGAGGTCACTGGTTCGAGTTCGGGTGTCTCCAACAATTTTTTTTTCTTCACTCATTTTTCTTTTTGACCTTTCACTGTATCTCCTTTGAATATTAGAACACGTAGAATCGCAAATAATATAATAAACAACCATATTTACTTTATTATTACCCTATTATCACTTGATCCATTACTTTTTGCGTGTAATCCTTATGGGAGATGACTTTTTCTCAAATCTGGATTCTACATTCATGTCTTTTGCGAGCAATGTCGCCGTTATTTCGGCTTGATTTTTGTTAATTTTTGAGTATGTTGTAGCTGAGACTATATACTATCTAAATGTTCTCTCATTTTTTTCAGTCTGATGTCATCATGGTCTATTGATGATGATGATCATCAACATCATCATGATCATCATGATCATGATCATCATCATGATCATTATCTTCATCGTCATCATCATTATCATCATAATCATCAACATTACCATTAATATTATCATCTAACATTATCATTATCATCATCATCATCGTCATCATCATTATCATCATCATCATTAACATTATCATTAATATCCTTCATCTTACATTATCATTATCATCATCATCATCATATCATCACCATTACTTTCATGATCATCATCATGTTAATCGTCATCATTATGATCATCATTGTTTACATGTCTATATAACTTCTCCCTTTCTCTATATAGTAAATATTCAAATCTATCATAAGTTCAAAAACAGACCACCTTATTCGTCAAAGTGACGAATTAAAAATCTAGTTATTATTATTATTATTATTCCCATTTTCAGATATTACATTACATTCCTCACAATCTGCCATTATTTGTAATCTAAAGACTCCTATGAGTATGAACTTATACAAGTGAATAAGACTTTTTGAAAAGGAAAGAAAGGGCACCCATAGGAACCTGTAGAAAATAAGTCAACGAGACCAAAGTCCATGTGCTGCACCAGGGGGAGATGTCACGCAAAAAAGACTTGTCTCTCAGTGTTTCGAATTCCGACATGGCACTTATATCCTTAGGCAAGATATTAACCTACACTTGCTACTCTCCACCCGGGTGTTAAATGGGTACCCGGTAGGATGCGACCGTCATTGTTGGTCAAACATTTTATAAGCGTCAAGTAACGCCTGGCTAGAATACTCCCCAGGGTCAGTGGCAATCCAAATACTCTTCGGATATGATTCGAATTAACAATAAGACGTCTTAGGAAAATCCACACAGCCAAAACGTATATCATTCAACAATGACAATCAATTTGGCATGTAGTGATATTGCATGTCTTCTCCATTACTTCTCCACCTCTCCTGAATAAAGAAAATTTGAATGAGAAAGGTACCCAATTAGGGAATGTGACAAGGTGAAAGGCTGGTAACTGTTGCCTCCAAACAAAATAAGTATCTCCTTAATATTTTCTACTTATTTTATTATAATATTTTAATTTTTATTCTTCATTTGAAGGAAACGTGTTAATGGTCAGAGATTTGACTGTAAGGATTAAGAAGTAAGAATGATAGACTTATAAGACTCTGTATATATATATATATATCTCACATTTGTATAGGATTTATTGAAATCAAATCAAATCACATCAACAACCCAGAACAAACAGTCCGAAGACTGTCGACACCTGTCTTGTGTACAAGTTCAACATACAATTTAAATCAAGTATACATAATTAAATGGCAGTAAAGAATACATTAATAAGTTACATAGGTTAAAATATCAAATAACTATATCATCACTGAATAAAGGTTAACAATACAGAAAAAAATAAAGTAGTAAGTAGTGAAAAGTAAGCTAAAACAAAATGTAAAGAGCTGACAAAATTAAAAGCTCACTGCTGCTGGAGAGCTCCCTCTCTCTCCCCTTCTCTCTCTTGCTCGCCCTTTCTCTCTCTCTCTCTCTCTCACGTATCCTTATGTTTGCACTTTGTTGTTCTGTATTCCCCGTATGTATCTTTCCCATTATATATCAGTATTTTGTTAATGTTGGAAACCTCGTACGAATGAATAAAAATTGCCATTAAAGTCACAAAAGTGCGCTTTGTAAAAGTGAAGCATCATCATGACATGCACCATCATAATCTTTAGGTTGATGATCATTGTCATTTTTAATGTTGTTGTTATTACTATTCACATTATCATCCAAATGATCATATCAGTGTTATTAATATTAATATTATCATTCTTCTGAATATTATCATTATTATTAGTTTAATCATCATCATCATTATAATTATTGTTTTTATCATTATTATAACTGTTCTTGTTGTTATTGTTATCACTCATATTCTCTACTCAGCTGACAAAATCTTTATAACGGACTTGATCAATAGCAAGATCTTTGTGGGCGAGAACAGTGGCTTCGACTTCCACGGCGAGGACATCCGCGAAATCCCACTGAGCGGGGTTAAAGCTCCTACAGGTATTGACTACGATTACCGGACCGACAAGATTTACTGGAGTGATGAGAAGGCGAGGACAATCAATCGAGCTTCACTTGATGGTTCGAACCAGGAAATCTTGATTGAAGGCATTGGATGTGAGTGTGGCTTAGATATAATATATATTCATTCGTTCATGTATTCACTTGACTATTTATGTATATATCCATATATTTATTTATTATATTTGTTCGTTGATTTGTTAAATATTTCATCATTAATCATGTATTAAATAAGGTTTATCCATTCTAGCTCTATTTTTGTTTTGTTTAAAATTAATTTGTTATATTTGTTTATGTCTTTAGGATTTTTATCCAATGATATATATGCCATTTAAAAAAAATCATTTCGATTTGTTCTATCAATCAGAGTAATGGCATCCTAATATTCATACTTAATATGGTGCAAATTAAATCTGGACAGTGACGTTTGCGTATCGTCAGTCATCGTGCTATCCACCCTGGGGTTTTTGCATCATTGTGCTGCAAACCAAGATCAATCAGGTTTGTTTTCTGGCCCCTTTAATGATATCGTTTTGGTCAAATACAGTCAGCACATTATTTTTGTTTTTATCTCTGTAAATGTACTTTTTTTCTTTCTTTTTTTACATTCTAATTTATCCATTCAGACCCGCAAGGAATCGTCCTAGATTTAATGACGAACAGGATGTTTTGGACTGATACTCTGTTAGGACAGATAGTGAGTTCTAGCCTACTCGGGTCTAACCGACGCACCATTATTAGTACGGGCCTTTTATATCCATGGGGAATCACATTGTCTCAAAAAAGAGGGTGAGTGTAAATGAAAAACGTGCCATCTCTCTTTCTCTCATAGACAGCTATTTCTTTCTTCTAGATCTCTGCCTGTGTGTCTGTCTATACTCTCTGTCTCTCTATCACACACACACATACACGTACGCGCGCGCGCGCGCACACACACACACACAGACGCTAGTAAGCTATCCACCCCATTTCTCCCTCTCGATCCTTCTCTTAACATAGTTCGTTATCTACCACCTAGTTTCCCCCCTCTCTCTCTTTCTCTCTATCTTTCGCCCCCGATATCATTGCATCTGAAACACGACATCCGATACCTCCCCCATTCGACAAATGTAAATATAAATACACACATACGCACCCACACCCACCCGGAAAACAAACACACTCACGCACATACACATATACACACACGCCCACAAACACATTGCGACACCCTATATATATATATATATATATATATATGTATATAAATATAAAACATATGAACATTGAAAGCAAACATTCAAAGGCCAATACAAATTAGTGCACAATCAACCTGACCAATATGAGACTAAACGGTCAACTGGAATACCCATGTGAACGTATTTCTGTGCGTGGGTGGGTTAATGGTTGTATGTGTGGGTGTATACCATCCACTCTCAACGGAGTTATTCAACCACTGCTTTTGGAGTGGATTCCACTCCAAAGTCGCTTATCTCTGATATCAATCATTTCTTACATCTATACGATGACATGTTTATACATATAGTTCACATACACATTTTTCAGATACGGGCAAATCATTTTTTTTCTTCTTTTTTTCTTATGGTAAAAGGAAATTGTACTGGACTGACGAAGGTAAGTTAACTGGAAAGATTGAGATGTCAAATAAAGACGGATCGGACAGAAGACAGTTGGTTACAGCACGCTTGAGAAAACCTACGGGCCTGGCCCTTGATTATCAAGGTATACAAGAAAAATCTTCGATGGTATCACTTCATGTCCAAAATTGTAAATACATGATCGTCAATGATGATGATTACTTATTTTAAGTAAAATTTAAATACTGTATACACGAAGACAATGTGAATTGATATCACCTGGATATAGAAATAGTTACTACTCTGGTCGTTCAAAATAACATAGAATTAAGGTTTACTATATACTTTTCGGATGTTTGTTAGAAATCTTGCCCCCAAAGGAAGGGGAAATGGGCATTTATGAGCGAACTCATCAGAGGTACAAAAAAGGGCACTTATGAGAAGGGGCACTTATATGAAGAAAAAGGAGCACTTCTCTGAAATAAAAAGGGGCACTTTTGGGGTACTTTACAATATAGGGAGAGGGGAGGGACAGTTTTTATTATCATCAGTTATCAGGTCGCTCCTAATTATTTTTTAAGTACCAGACTATTTTTTTTTCAACTCGTCTTCTGCAGAACAGCGCCTGTACTGGACGGAGAGCTACTATAACGTGATCGAGTCGATTGATCTTGATGATCTATCTGATCGAAGAGATCACGTTAACGCTGAGAGTGGTAATTCAGTGGACTTTGGCATCTCTCTCTATTTCACCTCCATCTACTTCACAGACTTCGCATCTAAAGTTCTCCATGAGGCAGACGTTGGAGGAGTTGAAGAAATCAGGAATATTACTGGATTTTCAGCAGGAGTGCCTACCCATGTCAAGATTTATGCCGGTAGGGAGAAGAAAAAAAGATCTAAGAGGAAAACTTCGATCAGAGTTATTTTGAGTACAAGTTAGATTATTTTGATTATTTATTTCTAATTATATTCAGAAACCGAAGTTAAACTATGTTGTCTTTGTTTTTCATTCAAGAATTTTAAACAGGAACGAATAATGATAAATAACAGGATATTAATCATGCTACTATTACTACTACTACTACTACTACTACTACTACTTCTACTACATGTACTACGAATACCATTACCACTACTCCTAATAATGATAATAATAATAACGATAATAATAAAAATTACAATATATAGATTGACGTACTTTTCTTATGCCGTCCATGCCGGAAGGAGACCTCGTGATGGCTTCCATATGGTGATGATACGCCAGGTATTTCTGTCTGCAGCCAGTCTTGATGCATCTGTCAGGTTTGTTATGGATCTTGCTTTGCAGTCCTCTGAGATGCAGTCAAGCCATCTTTTCGGTAGACGGCCTCTTGGTCGATTCCCTCTGATGTTTCCTTCAACAGCAATTTTGGGGTATCTTGTGGGTTTCATTCTTAGGACGTGGCCAAAATATTGATGGGTGTGTTTCGGATCTTGTCTATCCTTGTCACCCCCGTTATGCAACGGAGGCATGCCATTTCAAACACCTGAAGCCTTTTGCTATCTTCTTTTCTTACTGTCCAGGATTGTGCCCATGAAGCAGTATTGAGAGGATAAGTGTTTGATACAGTTGCATCTATGTGTGGCTACCAAATCTTTTTTTGATGTCCAGATGTTATTTAGTCTCTGGAAAGCTGCCCCTGCTTTCCTGATTCGATTGTTAATGTCACTTGAACTTGAGCCGTTTTCTGCTATTGTTCCCTCGGTTACACGAAATCTTCCACCTGTTTTAGTCTGTCGCTAGTTATGTCAATGTTGAGGTTGCACTTCATTTTGATAATAACTTGTTCACCTTGAGACCAAGGTCACAGCTTAATATAGATAAAAGTGTGGCAATAGAAAATCAGTTAATAATATTGAGAAATCAAAGTTGAATATATTTGTTCTTCGATTGGAAAATCTGAACTGTAATTCATCTGAGGCTTTGCGTATTACAAGTGTACAAAAATAATTAGATTATGCTTTTTCTTTTAAATCTACAAATCTGGAAGCTATATACCATTAAGTTCTTTGACAACGGAGCTTTGAAAGCGGAATTGTTTACCTGAAGAGCCTTAAACAAGGATGCTGTCTAATTTCTCTAAATCGCACTCCCTTTAATATTTCAATAACGCTGCTCGCATGAAATTATTTTAATTGATTCATTTTCAGACTTAACGTGCCCAGTTAACGAGTCTTGCCCCGGTAACAGTCGATGTCAGCTCGTTGCGTATAACACTCCCGAGTGCATTTGTATAGTGGGTTGGAAAGGCATGAACTGCCTTACAAGTAAGTAAATGCTGTATTTACATATTTACAATTTGGCTAAACTATGAACAACCTACCTTCATTAGAGTTAAGCTACCCTGACACTTGCACGAATTTCAGCCCCGTTTGCTCTGTGCGACAATCGATAGACGTTCGAGAGACAATAGGGACTTTTAGATTTGCACGTCGACATAGTGGACTGCTACGTGTAACGTTCTTTTAAGGCACTGTGATGTCCTTTTACGGCACTGCCATTGCCTTAAAAGGACGTCCACTATGTCGACGAGCCAATCTAAAAGACCATATTCAGGAGACAACCGAGAGAGAGAGCCTAGAGCCAACCGAGAGATGGTCCTTTTTAGAAGACATTGAATGTTCCTCGCATATGGCTCCGTTTAGTCTCATTTCACAACGCCCCCTATCGTCAGAGCATGATCAGAGTCAGCAGCCTGACATGTTAGCCTATGGACGTTTTTTTTAAAAATCGTTAAAAATTCAATTTTTGTTTTAACGAAAATCACATCCACCCCGACATACGTTATCACTAGCTCCTTCATTGGAGCCCTCATGTCTCATTGACTTTTGAAAGTTCATCCACCGTAATTTTTCAAAAAAGGTTGCAAGCTCGTCATTGCCTATAATACACATATGAAACAAGTCTAACTTTGGACTCAGTTTACCAAGCGATTTGAAGATTATAGGTCGAGCACACGAAACATAAAAAGTATGAATTATCATAGATCACTTCTGCCTATTTCATTATGTCCATTTCATCCAACCCCCCACCGTAATTTTTCCATTTAGTAAAAACAAACATTTTGCCGAGTTTAGCAAAAAACATGAATATTCATGACGGTCAGACAATACAGCCTTTTAGTACGTAACGTATAGTGAATGGGAATGGGCGATGATCCGTTCAGGAGGAAGAGGTCAGTGGTTTGTGCTGCAATGTTCACGCGAGCGAAAATGAGACAATCGGAGCAATATGTTAACTATACAGGTTCCACAGGGATAGCTCCTGCCTCCCTGGTTGCTTATCAAGGAATAGTAGATATTAAAGTGTCATACTCATAGAACTTGACATTTCATCTTATTCAAGCTCTAAATTCTATCAATTTTTTTTAAGTATACTTTTCTTCAATGATTCGGTAACACTTGGAAAACGAACCTTAGATTTTCCCATAGATTATTGGACAAAATACATTATCGTTAAGGCACAAAATATTAAAAAACTGGAAAATAATATTGTGCATTTTTCAGCTGTCGTTTTACGCAATTAAAATGGCCCAAATTTCTGTTTGTGTGTCGTTGTTCTTCTTTTGGGGGTTTGTGTTGTTGGTGTTGTTGATTGTATTTTGTTTTTACTTTGTAGGAATCACATGTACTCTCCCGAACCCACCGCCGATGTCGTCTTTCGTAAACACCAGCGATAGCTACACGACTAGTACCACTGTGATTGTTACGTGTGACAATGGCAATGACCAAGCTGAGTGGATTTGTAACGCTTATACAGGAAACTGGGACAAAGAGCCAATCGACTGCTCCGATCAGTCTTCAGGTATTCTTTAGCTCTTTAAAAAGATAATGGTCACAACAACAAACTATCAATAATGATGATAATTGTGATACTGATAACAATAATAATAATAATAATAATAATAATAACTAGAAATTTAATTCGTCACGAAGACGAATAAGGTGGTCTGTCTAAGTCTTATGATAGATTTGAGAATGGGAGAAGTTATATAGACATATAAACAATGATGATCATGATGAACATGATGATGATGATGATGGTGACATTGATGATGATGATGATGATGAGCATGAGCATGATCCTGACATCTGATTGAAAAAATGAGGAAATATTTAGATAGCAAATAGTCTCAGCTACAACATACTAAAATTTGGGAGAAAACTGTTGAATAATAACCGAGATACTAGTCAAAACACATTGTCATGCAGATTCA